TTATAAGAATGTTTTGGTGATTTTTTTTTCTAGGAAAATGTTTTTATTAATAAATAATCAAATTGAAGAGTACCTTTGGTCAACACTGTTATGTAGGGCAAAAATGAGGTGGAAGAGATTGGACGGTGAAGGTTGACAAAGGAGGTCCAACAACAATGGAGAACAAAGTTGGCAGAGTAGCTAGTCAAAGGGTGAGGGAGAAGAGTAGCAATGAAAAGTAAAATTGATAATTCAGGCCAGCCCCGACCCACCCGAAAAAAGTTAGGGCCGGGTTGGGCTATATGGGCTTTTTTAAGAGAGTAGAATACTTTAAACTTGATTTGAATAAGTTTGGCTCGAATTGAGTTTGACTTGAATAAGCTTCATTGTTAAAATTTCCACCTCTATATGTATATAAAATTAATAATTTTGGTCAAGCCCAAATTTGGCAAAAAAAACTTTCAAAGGCAAGCCCAGGTGACCTAGCAGATGATCGAGGAAAAGAAGAAGGCTGAAGTGAAGAGGAAAGAAGTCAAAGTGAGGAAAAGCAGCAAGCTCTCTTGCGAGCAATTCATGAAAGATGGCCTAAGATGTCAATATCTTTGAGTCAGCAGTTAAAACAAGTGCATACTTCAAGAAGAGAAGAGCTAGAGACAAATTCCAGGCCTTTGAGACAAAGTCTTACTGGGGAGCTCAGGGGGTATTCCTTTGCTAGCTCTTAGGATGACTTACCTCGAGCCAATTTCCAAGCTTAATATAGATACCAACCTCCACACAAGAGGAATGAAGTGGCTTCAAGACATGTGGCAGGCTTTAATAGCTGACAAGACGTAAGAGCTTTTACACCTTATCACTTTTTTGCAAGAACTAAGCCCAAGACTAATCCAAATCTTTATGTAAAGGAGGCTAATGTACCAGCAAATGTCTCAGGAGACTAGGAAGAAGGCCAATTTAGCAAGTGCGCCACCACAGTATTTGACCTTTCCAAGACAAAGGATTACTAATTACTTATTGTCTTTGATTTCATTTCCTGTTGAAAGAAAAGTTTATCACACTTCCAATAGATCACAAATTACCTACAAAGGAAGAGCTAAAAGGAAAAGATTACTGTCAGTATCAACATTCCTGGAACCATTCCACTAACTCGTCTTAGTCGTTTAGAAATGCTATGCAAGAGAGGATCAATAAGGGAATTTTAAAGTTCCAGAAAAGAAGAAAGAAAGCATCTTGATTAACCCTTTTCGCTACTATCAATACGAGAAGTACTCTGGTTTAACTCTACTATCAATACTATGACCTTTGACTTGCAGTCCTTAATCAATGCCAAGAAGAAAGCTCAAGGAGCTTAAGATCAAGAGCAAGAGCCAGAATCAAAGCACAAGCATAGGAAAGAGTGGAGACCAAAGTTCTATCTACCATAGCCAAAGAATATATGGAGGAGGGATGAGGGAGCTAGTTCTGGTCAAAAGAAGGAAAAAGCAAGCTCCATAGCAGGAAGTCTAGGATAGGTTGTCCTAGCCTTGGTTTGCGGCGAATAGATTGTCAATCTTTAGCTAATAGTAGTAGCTAGCACTGGCTTTCGATTTAGGGATCTTAATAAGACATATGCAATGTGTCTCTAGAGCATCTACTAACCTACTTGCACGAAGGCCTTCCCCCTCTCCTCAAATGTCTACAAAAGGAATTGACAATTAATCCGATGACTTTCCATCTAAGACATGGTAATTGCTTTCAAAGGTTAGATGCTGCAAGTGAATCAAAAGTAGAGAAAGGGTAAGCTCCTTCACTTCATGCCTTGGTTCGCACAAGCATAAGTACTAAGAATAAGAGTTATGTGGCCATTAGGGGAGGGGAGGGCATGTTAAATGCAGATTACTAGATTACTAGTATGGAGATATTACCTTCATATCTTTATTCCTTTCTTACTATTTTTTTCCTTCTTGACTTCCTTTCTATAGCAAGCTTTAACTTATCCATAGTTATGGAATCAATAACTTTTGAATCAAAATTCTTTTCCCTTGGTTCTATTAGTTTAATCATATCCAGGGGATTTCTAGCTTCAATCATGCAACTTGATTAAAGACCGAGCTAATTTCCTTAAGGCAAAGAACTAATGCCACTTGTCCTAAATAGCTAACTGTAATGTCTTTGCTGATGCGCCCCTTCACCCTATTGCTGAAGGGGGGTACCCTCAGCCCCAGTTACAGTTGGACTTCATCCATCAAGCTGGCATAGTGAGGCAAGCTTTAGGAAAGAAAGTAGCCGTGAGGTTACAAACAAAGGTTGTGACTGAGTCCTGGTTAATTAGGTTGCCTTATCTTGGTCTAGTATGGCTAACAGGCAAGACGACTTTATATTATATTGGGAACGTAGCGTAGAAAGGGTTCTCCACAGTAAACTAAATGATCTACTATTAGCTTTCTTGCTGCTCAATTCTTCCTCTTCCTATTGCTTAATGTCTAACATATCTAATCAGATTGACTTGCTATTGACTTTAAGAGAGGACTAACTGACTTGAAAGAGATAGCCAGGCTAAATCATAAATTAACGAGAAGGCTGATTCTCAATAGTCAAATTGCATTTTCCAACATCCCAATTGGTCATACACCATCGAACCTTTGAATAAGGGAAAAGGGCATGAACCACTTGGTTACTTATCAAAGCTCTTTCCCTCTCTCATTCAACTTTCGGTGGTAGCTAGTCTTCAAAGACTTGTCACTGCTGAAGGTCTAACCAAGGAAATGTACGTATTAGTTTACCTATATGCGAAGGAAGTCAAGAGACTATATAAGGCGTCAGGGGCCTTGTTCCTTGCATTGTATTTAAAGCTTAAAGCAAGCTCTCTTTAGATTGCCTATGGAGGTGATCGGTGACCTCACAATCACTTACCAGTTTCGGTCTCTTTGACTCGGTTTGGTTTCCCTCGTATTATCCCTTCTTTTCTCCGTCATTAGAGGTATAAGAAAGATGATAAGGCAGATATGCTAGTAAAGATTTGGTTGTCCCTCTTTAATTTATCTGAGATTATCTTATCAGCTAAATGAGTGGATTTCTCAAACTTTACTTCCATTATTTACCTTGGAAGGATCCAAAAAGAGTAGTCCAAGCTGTTAACTAGGTGGCAGAAATGTTACCCCAGTTTTTGGGGAGGTACTTACCTTGGGTTTCACAAATCCCCCTTGATGAAGGGGTTACGTGGGAGCCAACTTGGAAGGCTATACCTAATTCTCCTTACCTCTCCCAACAATTGAGAGTTTCGAATATCGAATTAGAGCTCTAATGTATCTACGCTAGATCTTGATAATAGCAGTCTTATAGGAATAGCTCTTCTCTTGATGCTACCCCTCGGTCAGCCTTTCTTTAGCTAAGCTGATTTAGATCAATTTATTAGAGTGAACTTTGATCTCCTTTACTTGATTGATAGGAAAGTGACCTTTGGCTATCTTACGAAGAGCCTAACTCTATCATAAAAGATTGACACTAAGCGAAGAATGTAGACTAGACAAAACTAAGGGCACTTCTAGAAAGGTTCCTTCAATAAAAGATCGATACTTGAAGTCAGAAAGAGGTAGAGATGAGATAGTTATTACAGCTGAAGGAAGCTAGCCATAAGGAAGGAGAACTCTTAGATCCTTTATGTAAGAAAACAAAAATATCCAATCTGTAGCTAAGGTTATGGAGAAAGCTATCAAGTTCTCAGTCTGAGATCTGAATCATCTATAAGAATAAAGTTTTCGGTCAAGGTCAGAAACCAGAGATAAGCTCACACATGCCTAAGGTCAGTGCATGGTAAGCTATATTCTAGAGCATAAGGTATGATGAATGGTTAAACATTAGTTTAAAAGTAAGAATATAGCTGTCTTCCTGGATCTAGTCCATAAAGAAAGACCTTTTACGTTTTACTCTAGTGACTACATTCCTTGTTCTATCAAACAAGCATCTTCCCTTACAGGACAATATATACATCATCCTCTCCAACCAGTCCTCCTATAAGATATAAACTTTGTGAGACCAACTAGAAGCTCCATTCACTGACTTACATACCTTTATATCCATACGTAAAAAAGGCCATTACACGCATAGCCCTTAGCACAAGTACGTTGCAAGCAAGAAGCTACCTCCATGAAAGAGAATCTTCTAGTACTTTAAGCTATCTTTCAAGACTATCTATTGTATCAATAAAGTAATGTATAACAGAGTATGGGGTACGAATGGTAAAGAGTCTTATTGCTATGCTATTAGGGCTTAAGGTATTAAACTCCATTTCCTTTCAAACCTTAGGGTTTCCTATTATACCTATGGCCAAGTCAAGTTGTTGTCTAATGGCTAAAGCTGGTTTTGTTGTGTTTTTAAGTGCCACAAAACTAGAATCAAATAAATATAGTTTCTCAATCAATGAAGGCTTTTCTTTTTCAAATACAAATCTTTCAAGTTCTATTGATCTCGATACTAAAGAAATTTTATTTATAAGAAAAAGCTTAGCTCGTTGATCTGTTTTAAAGCAGTCACCCATTTGTGCCCCGATACTACCAAGCTCCTTAATGTCACATGAAATGGAGTAGCGATCCATTTCTCTTCTGGCTTTCATTCCTCATCGATAAAGCCAGCATTGCCCTTTCCACCGCTAACCTCTGAAATGGAGCTTTTTCACGTCGGTTCTTTCTTGATATCAAGGAGGTGACAATCTTTAATTTCTTTCTTTCTGTCATGCCTTGAAAATTTAAACATGACCGGTATGAGATATATGTACAAACATACATCTCTTAAACCTTGATCAAAGAAACTCTAATTTGATATTTTAATTCAAATGACATAGGGTTGGGATTTATCGCTATATTATTTATTTTATTTTATTTTTTATAAAAGATTTCTAGACTTTTTAAAAAAAATTCAACAAAACCTCCCCTCTCAATAAATTCCCCCAAAAACAAATCGACAATCATTTTATAAAACAACAGCAGTAACAAGGAACTCTGCTCCCACCAACAGATAACAAATACAATCAATAAGGACGAGGACCCTAACTACAGCTTATATGGAGCACCTAACATAAGAAGTTACAAAATATAATGCATAAATTTAAATGCACATTAAAATTGATTTGATCTACCATTCTTCGTTTCAATTGAATACAACAGCCCTATAAGGACCAGCGGAAGTTACAGCATCAACTAATATATCTTAGACCAAAATAATAATTTCTAGTGAATAATGTCCCAACCATAAAATTTTTCACAATTAAAATGAACAAAATATAATAGTTACATAAATTAAAGAGAAAGAAATTCAAAGTACTCAAATTTGTAAGCATGGAATAAAAGTTCTATATAACTTCAATATTAAGGAACTTTAAATCTACAGCAATAAAGCAACTTAACACTTGATCTTGACATGTCAAAATAATTAAATAAATACATAATTGAAAATAATATCATTTGCTAGAAAGAAAGAAAGAAAAAACAAACATTAGAGTGTGAAATCATCAATTGATTACAAATTCACATTTCTGGGAATTTATCAGAACAATTCACAAATGTGAACACACAGTCCACGAAGATAAATAACCAAACGTGACTTATGCCACGAAAACAAACGTGGACACATAGTCCACGAGGGTAATGCTAACCAAACACGGCTTAAAGCCACGAAACAAACGTGAGTACGATGATCACGAATAACCATCCCTCCTTTCCACATGCGTTGGCCATCGCACGAGGCTAGCACCTCCTATAAACACCCTGCTAGCTAGGTGTACCATGGCGCACTAAGGCCTAATAAAACTGCCGTTAGCAACCAGTGTTCTGTATAAAATCCCCTTGAAATTCATTTTCAAACCAATTTCAAAGATGCGAGAATATAATCACTATTAAATAAAATTTTCATTTTCAATGTCGAACTCGCATGAATTGTTTTTCATAGCAATTCAATAATTTCCATAATGAAAATCCCATAATTAAAATCCAAACTTGTATTTACTGATAAACTAAAATTATCAAATCTGGTAAAGATAACTTCACAAAAATAAGTACTTTAATCAACAAAATATTCAATAATCACATTGTTAATGTAAAAAGGATTTGTATAAAAATGTAATATTTCAGTAAAAAAAATTTTATTGAAATATCAGTTGGGACGCTATCCACTTACCTCATAAGCTCTCAAAATAACGTTTTGTTCCATCTAATCACATCTCAATAGTCTTTTTAGCTACATTATTGCCTAGATAAGAGGAACAAACAACTTTCTTAATAATGACTCTACTCTATATATATTGCCAACATATATTCATCAACTCAAACTACTTAAATCATTTGAGGTTGCATTTCAACTACACAACAGATACTTTTCCATTCAAAAGTATACAACAAACTTTTTAAAGGAAAAAGAAAAAGAAAATAAATAGCTTAACCCTTCTAAGTTTTCAACATAGAAATTGAACAACTTAAATCTAAATGCCAGTCATTAATATAGTGAATATACTCAATTGCTCCATCCCAATCAAATTCCTCTTTTACATAATTGGGAAACATTTTATGTGTGTTAAGGTTCATTTATATTACAAAGCTCCTTTCTCTTCAAATCTCTTCTCAATAATTTTCATCAAATAATATATATATATACAACCAATATCGCTACCATCTTTAATTTCAATATAAAAATTTAACAAACTAAATTCAAATCTTAGTTCTCTAATACAATGACTGCTTGATTTCTCCATTTCAATTCTTACAAACAATTTGACAAATACCGTGTAACATCAAATATGTAACTATAAAATCAAACTTCTTATAGAAAGTAGACCACTTCTATTACAACTTGTTCAACATTATCAAACATTTTCCAAGCACCTTGTGCGCATTAAGAATTAAACTTGCAAACGATCCCTTACTTTTAAATCTCTTTCCCAAAAATCTTCCAAACATCTATATAGATTTCCTATTATTCCCAAATTCATATCTTAAAAAATCATCAATCCCATTTTAGAAAGGAATATCATTCCACCATCTTCATACATAATCAGCACTTTCAAATAGGATACATAAAATTCCACGTTTCAACAATTCAACCCAATCACACACAAACAGAAACAGACGAGAGATTGGAAGAAAAGAGGTGAGATTCACTCACCAATAGAGCTTATGACACTTGAAGAGGGAGAAGTCGAAGTTTTTTTTCCCCAATCACACGAGCACGCATCAACGCCAAAACAGGGGAGAAGTGATCGACGGTGTTCACAGGGAAGAATCAAGTAGACTGACACTGATAAAACAAGAGAATAGGAAGAAATCAATCCTAACGCATCTACGCAACTACATAGATGAAAAGGGAGAAGAGACTTCGAATATGAGAAGCAAAGGAAGACAAAGAAATATTGACCTTGATAGAGCAACGGCAGACACAGCTCTCCAAACACCATGGCACTAACGACATTGAGATCAGTGGAGCAAGAAGGAAGATGACGAAAATGGCAGAGGCATTTTAGGTCTGATGCCAGAACTTCTCTCTCTGCCTCTAGCAAGTTCGATGGATTAAAAAAAGGAAAGGAGAGAGGAAAAATCTGACAGCACGGAGGGCATAACTGTAATTTCAAGAGGTTAAAACAAAAAAAAACTCCCCTCTTATGACGGCAGGATCCGAACTCAGGACCCATCAAGTGATATATTGGCTTAAATTCCCACTACACCAACACTTGTTTTCAATAAAATCATTCCCAAAATATATATAAAATATTATTAAAATAAATTACCATCATTTTCAATTTTAATTAAATTTTGGATCATTACCATATGTTTGAATACCTTAAATAAATTTAAATTTTATTATTTACATAAAACTTTAGGTCATTACATTTTCGAGGGGAGTGTTCCAGTTTTCATTCTTTCTCGATAGGTACTTCTCGAATCCCACATATCCATGTAACTGCACAGGACCAACCAGCTCCCCTACTTGTTCCCCCAGGCATCTTTCCTTAGTTGGCATTTCCAAATCATTCTAGTTCTATTTGGATTGTAGTAGGTAGCTGCCTGAGCTAAGGTAGATGATAGAGAATAAAGGGCTCCATAGCTGCTTAACCAATTCTTCTCACTTTGCATCTTCACCGGTTTTAGCCCTTCAAGTTGGAATTCCTGATCATTGGGATGAGTTACGAACCCCCTATAGTCAGATTTCATTCAAAGGCCTTTTCATAATAGCCGAAGGCTAAGTCTTGAATTTAGGAAGCACCAATTTGAACTCATCAGATAATGGAGGTGGTGGTTGAGTCGTCTTCGATAGGCTCTGCACTATACCATCTCATGACCACCTTGGGATAATTATAACTTTTCCTCATATTAGATTGATTTGCCTTTCAATTGCTCTTCCAGTGTGCCTAAGGAGTTTTTTGGTTGTTTTGATAGAAGGCTCAAGGGTAGTCTTTTTGTTTATTTTTTAATGGGGGTGGTAGGCTAAAGGCTTCTCTCGCTTCGTGGTTGGCAGCCATGACTCGAACTTCTGCCTGAGGGAAATATCCTACTTGAAAGTTCAGTCTTTCCGATATCACTTCTATTAGCGCCCATAAGGGTTGCGCCTTGCCTCTGAGGAAAGGCACTTTTCTAGCTAAGAACTTAATTCCTGGGTTTTTTTGTTCGTTAACAGCTAGGACAAAAATCCTACTCAAGAAATTGCTTATCTTATAAAGAAGATCTCTTTTGAATGGAATGTGAATGCAAACATTTCCTTCTTTTATTCTATAGTGGTTGCTACTGCCCATGTCGATGAAGTGACATTCCAATCATCTATCGATCCAATGGTCAAGCCTTAGGCTTCTTCCTTTTTTTCCTCTTTAAATAAGGTTTTTATCACTTAAAAGAAGGTGGCAAAAGTAGAATCTGAATCGGCTAGCTCATGCAATCAACTAAGAGTTCCTTTTCATAATACAAAAAGAGCCCTTTGCAAGAAAACTAAAGTGCTAACAAGTAATCAAAGATTGGATAAATCTCCAATCTTAGAGAAGTAGCTAGCAAGGCTAGGCACCTAATGCATGTGAGGGTAAGGGAAGGAAGTCTCCTTGGCTTTGGCACGTATGAGTAGTAGAGTGGAGTAAGTGGGCAAAACGATTCAACAATTAATGTCGCTTGAACTAAAGGACAAAGAAATGAAAAAGGCATTGTTTACATCCATCTGTCTTATTGACCATCCACAAGTGATAGAAACAAACAAAACAATCCGTAAAGTGGTAGCTTTAACTACAAGACTGAAAGTTTAGTAAAAATCCATACCTTCCTGCTGTGTGTAGCCTTTAGACACTAGTTGCGCCTTATAGCACTCTATCAAACCATCAACTCACTCTTTCATTTTGTAGACCCAGCGACATCCAACAACGTTCATAGAAGGTTCATAAGGCACTAAAAACCAAGTCTTATTCTACAAAAGAGTGGTATACTATAGCTGATATCTACTGTCCTTCCTTACAACCTTCCTTAAAGGATATAGGCTCATGTGTGGATAAGGAGTAGACTCCATTGAAGAGAATGCTCGTGATCGCCGGGTAAACATAGGAAAGGTAGTTTACTTGTTAGAATAAGGCAAAAGGGCACAACAAATAGGTTTACTACTAGTTTCAATTTAATGAAAACAGCTCAAAACCCTTGCTTGCTTTCTTTAAAAAAACTGAACAGACTCGGTGGAGTGTGACCGATGGCATTTATTCTATGGCTTGGAACCGTTTTAAAGCTACTCTTGATGATGTGCCAGCTAAGGAAGAAGGGAAAGATGAATAGGCAGTTTTTAGGAAGTCAATCAATAGAAGAAGATATACCCCCTTACATCAATTAGCAGTCAATCTGATTACTTTTAAGTCGAGGAAGGAGGAAAGCCAAAGGCAAATCCATAGGGATACTCGGACTTACTAGAATAGCCATATCTGTATAATAGAAGAATAGAGCGTGAGTAGCTTCCTTTTATCGAGCATCTCTCTCTTCATTAATAACCGATGCCTATCTGATATTTTCGGATCAATCAACTACCCTTACCTTCCCATGTATACTGCTTCACTCCTTCTCTTCTTTAAGGTAAGGAGAAAGAGTGCGCTCTTTATCAACTCATTTCTCTAGGCTTTGAACTCAATCTCAATCTGACTAACTCTTCAGCCCATCTCTTCTTTATCTCTCATCCGTGCTAATAAAAGAAAAGGAAAGAGTTCAACCCGAATCCTTCCTATTCACATTTTAACTCTTTCACATCGTCTTAATCTCAAATGGGAACTCAAAGTCTTCCTCTTTCTCTGCCCTTGCAAAAAATCCAAAGAGCTGCTAAGTGAGGAAAGAAAGAAATTGATCTCGTATTGTTCTATAAAAATGATAATCTACATCAATCCCATAAAGGGCAACCCTAGGCCGAGTTAGCTACTAACTATAAAGAATTACCCATTAGCTCCTTAGAAGGGAATCTACTTAGCTACAACATCCATTCTTTATTACCCTGATGGTTTAGCAAAGGAAATAAATACCCTATATGACGAATTGTTAGCATGAATGCCTATAATAAATATGACTCATACCTCTCCTTACTTTATTCAATAAGGGCGAGCACTTCATACCTGTTATTCATAAATCAGTCAAAGATTATGCTCACAGGGATTCCCCTTCCTATTAAGCTAAACAACTAAAAGAGGGATCTCAATATGACGGAATACCCATAATCTAGGTTTCATTAAGAATGAAGGGATATGACCAAACAACCTTCTTATCCCTTGTCAGCTGAAAGCAAGGACCGCCACAAACTACCTTGTCCTGAAATCCCACCTTTCCAATATGATGAATAGTTGAATCCACTTCTTAGGCTTGGCCTAGATTTAAATGTGTCACTTTGATCCAAAGTGAATGATGCCTTAACTGATGAGTGATGAAGGTAGCTAACCTCCATCACATTATCTAAGAAGCCCTCTTTTTTGAGTCTGGAAAGCATCTAATTGAAAAGGATGAGCTAGTTAATTAGCTAAGAAAGACTAAGAAGAAGAATGACGGATTGGGAATTCTTAAACTAAACCCCATAATCTTCCTGCCTCTAGTCAAGCTAATCGATGGTAGTGAGCAGAAGAAGAAGTAAAGCTACAACAGTCCCATTCCTTCTTATCTACGTAAGACATAGAAGAGAGTTTAGCTAGCTTTCCATAATGGGCTACTAACTATGACTTTGCTTCCCTATATTAGTAGCACGTCGAAGGTCTTCGTTAGGTGTCGGAATCACATTTAGATTGTGGTCTATGAACTCAATACCAGATAAAGAAGCAGCAAACAACTGAAAGAATAGAGGGAAGGTAGCATTGCTTTCACACTTCTATATATTCATGTGTGCGTGTATATATATATATGTATATGTGATATATATTATACTATACTATATTATGTTATATTATGTTATGTTATGTTATGTTATGTTAGTTTTAAATTTAATTTTATATGATAGATTAAATTTAATAACTAACATGATATGAGAGAATATCATGTCAATTTTATAATTTGAATTTATAAGATAAATTCAAATTAGATATGATATCATGGATTAAATTTATGAGATAAATTTAATTAAATTTTCATGAGCTTTAAGTGAAAGATGAAAAACCCTGATTTATATACTATATATAGATAGGGACGTCTTTTGTAAAGGAGGAGAGAGTTAGAAAAGTTCTAATGACAAAAACACTTTGAGAGCTATAAACACCCTATAGAAAGTAAAACTAATGTTTAAAGAAGAATGGATACTGGGAGCGCTAGCACGCTATTCAAGTTAGAGAGCTGTTCATGTGGATACCGGTAGAGGGAGAAGATCTACATTATTAGCTCCTGAGATCCAAACTCTTGAAGAGAACATAAGCCAAGTTTGAAGAATTAAAAGGTAACTTTTCTATCCACCTTAACTTAAACGAGTTCGTTCAGTCCATATCAGGATAGGGATTTTACAATTTTAATCTTCCGCCGCGCCTTCCTATCTTACAATTAGGGCCAGGCTCGGCTATATGGGCTTTTTTAAGAGGGTAAGATACCTCAAGCTCGATTCGAATAAGTTCGACCCAAATTGAGCCTAATTCGAATAAGCTCAGCTCGCCTGAATTACCGGCTCTAATGAGAAGGTGGAGAAGAAGGAAGAAGGCTATGGAAAGAAGAAATGAATAGGACATTGATGTCAGCACAAATTTAAATTGAGGATATTTTGGATTGAAAAAATCCATTCCCAAGGAATGGACCCATTCCCATGGTCTCTTTAATGGAATGAAAATTATCTTAGATGAGATAATTGGCTATTCCATTGAAATGAATTCACTCATATACCAAATAATCAAACTAATCATTCTTTTGTCTATTTTTATTCTATCACCCCTCATTCCTTTATACCAAACAAAGGCCTTACAGCTGAGTATTTCCCTTTAAATTTTGAAAATTTAAATATAAACTTATATTTATTGTCATCTTGTGCTTTTGTAATCACTTGCCATAGAATAAACCATTGTAAGAGTGTTTTGGTGATTTTTTTTCGAGTA